CGGCCGCGCGCGTGCGCTGGCTCGAGGATGAGGAATGGGGCCCGGGGAGTGTGGTCCGCCGCCCATAGGCTGGAATGCCGACGCTGCCCGAGCCACCGCCGAGCGCGGACGTCGTAGGTGGTACGGAGTGCTGGGCGCTGGTCTTCAGTGTGGAGATGTGCGCGTTGCATGCGGCACATGTGCTGCATGCGTGCATATTGTAGGGAGTGGTGAGCGGGTGAGTGGTGGGTGGGTGATGGGTGCCGAGTGCGCCTTGCGGACGCCTTGTGCCCTGGGAAGATGCACACTAAGGTGGATATGTAGGAGTATTTTGGCGAACTACCCGAAGTCTGATAGGTCGCTTTATTTTTGTTCGGGCCAATTTTTGCGGCAAGATCTCGCACATTCAACCGCGCCTTTATTGTACTTTGAATGTAGCGCTTCAGAACTACAAGAGAAATAGAAGCTCGGCACGTCCGACTTAGGAAAGACGAGCTACTCCAGCCTCAGTTCACTTACATACTTCAGATGACCAACAGAAAGTGACCTAAGCCCAATGGTTGATTCGGCTTCGGATTCCAGAAGGGACAAAATCCATTTCAACCCCATATGTGCTTTTAGACTATTTACGATTACTTTGCATATTTACGTAGGGAGCGATCAACTCTAATTGTCAGAGTTCTAGCCAAAAAAAAAAAAAAATCAACAAAACAATAAGATCCATTTTACTCGTCACTCGTCACGCATCATCGAACAACCACCGTTATCCAGCGCCCTCGGCACCGCCACCTCTCAGAACGCCTCCCTCCCCGTCATAACCGTCTTCAGCACCCCCTCGTCCGCCAGCCTCTCAATCATGTTATACAACACGAAATCGCACCCGCGCTTGACGATCAGATTGACCGTCACCGGCACCATCTCCTCGTGGAACGTCACGTTGCTCTGATACGGCACCTGGCCGATGGGAATCGTGAAGTCGGCGCAGCCGAAGATGGGGCAGATGCTCGCGCACGTGACGGCGGCGCCCTCGGGCGTCACCGCCAGGTAGCTCGCGTCCGGGCTCTCGTTGAGCTCGCGCTCGCGGAACGACGGCAGGCCGCCCGTGCCGATGTCGCACAGCATCACGCTCTCCGAGCACGACTCGGCCGTCGAGAACTGCAGGTTCGTCTCGTACCAGTCGACCGCCTGGGCCTTCGTGACGAGCGCGTCGGCGTAGTCCGCCGCCGAGTAGCCCGTCTCATCCTCGAGCAAGGCGACCCAGCCGGGCCGTCGCGCCGGGTCGATGGGCGGGAACCGCCCGTCGTAGCGCGCACCCCACTCCTCGATGAGCGGCTTGGCGACTTCCTCCCACTGCGTGCGCCGGTTGATGACGCCCGTGGCCTCACGCATCGTCGTGAAGTTGCTGGCCACCGGGTCCGACGCGTTGCCCACGAAGGCGGTGAAGTTGAACTCGGTCACCGTCATGTCGAAGATGGCCGCCATACTGTCGATGAAGGCTTGCAGGATGGGCTCCGCGTCGCGCGTGTTGTTGAGCGGGAGGTAGTCGGTCGGGTACAGGATGCGCTTGGGGAAGGCGTCGGTGTCCGGGACCACGAGGGGCGGGAGGCCCGTGATTTCGGTGCTTTGGTGGAGTTCGGGGGCGTACCTGGATGTAATGGGGATTATTATCACAGGCTCGACTGTAATCACGGGGCAGGCGGCAGGAACTCACCAGTTCTTAGAGAACTTGATCCATTTGTAGGGATCGCGAGAAAACACTGTCGACTCCGGGTTAGTCAAAAGTTGCCAAGGGTAAATAGACAGCTTAGAAGGAGAATGTTTACCGCCAGCAGTATCCGTAGCCGCACCAAGTGGCATAACTCCTTCCAAGGACATCATTCCCTGACTCGGGCGTTGCCTGAGGCAAGGGTAAGCGCGTTTCGGTAGAACACAATACGTAAAATTTGAGCAGACCCATACCCATAAGTTCCGGAAACAGCAGCCGGTCGTCTCATCGAAGAACCAGTGTCAGATCCGATGGCATAGTCCAGCCAGTCGTACGCAGCAATAGAGCAGCCGCCGCCAGATGAAGAGGCCGAGCATGTCAACCACCCATCACCACGAGGATTGAAGGGATAGTGCTACAATGTCCCAGCGAATTTCATTTAGTATTCTCAGGCACTGCTTTAGACTTCGCAAAAGTTGATTGCAGAGCGGACTAACCTCATCGTACCAATCCCACGGGTTTGCTCCAGATGCAAATTGGGCGAGTTTTTGCTTTCCAACTGGAACACCACCTAGATCAATCTATCGCAGCGTTAATTAGTATTCGGCTGTTTTGAGTCGAGACTCCTAGCATTTTCGGTGCCAGGGTAGCATATGTTTTACTTACAATCTGCTGAACAGACGGGGCGTGGTCTTCGGCGGGATCAACAATGTGCGCCCATGCCTGGCTCCCGCCAGACGTAATCAGTCCCTTGATGTCGTAAAGATCCTTGATACCCACGCGCTGGCCAGCAAGAGGCCTATCATCATCCCAGTAGTAGATGCGAGATGGTACACTACGCATTCAATTAGCCCACACTATTTTCACAATTTTCACCGTGGTCGCACACACAAATGCGAGACTTACGGAATCAGAGGGTCCCAGTACTTGGGATAAAAAGCGCCAAGAGACATGTAAGTGGTCTCGCCATCGTTCGAATCGTACGCTCCGTACAAGAACGTGTTGTAGGTATCCTCGTACAGACGGTACACCATACCAAGCGCCATAGACTCATCGCTCACGATGGCCGCGTACGGTCCAGGCGGCAGCGTCGAGTCTGCCAGACCATCCACATACATGGTGTCGAACGATCCAGAACCCTCGCACGAAATCGCCGTGTCCAGAAACAAATATTCCAGCCCAATCGAGTCGAAGAAGTCCACCGCGGAGCCGTCCATGCTCACGCCGCTATCCGCCGATCCCGACTTGACCAGTAAAGCCGCGAGGAAGTCGTCCGAGTAGACGTCGTCTCCTTCGGCATAGCTGGCTAGGACGCTCTGAATGGCGTCGGCGGTGACGGTGGTGTCGTCGATGACGACCATGGCGAGCGGGACGAGGTCGCCCCCGGCGGCGGCGGAGCAGTCGCCGCCCAGGACGGCCTTGGGGTTCTGCACGTTGGCCAGGTAGGTCGTGTTGCCGAGGGAGAAGAGGGCGTCGCCGGACGGCGTGTCCTGGATGTGCACGTAGTCGGCGCGCTTCTTCAGCGCGGGATCCGTCGGCACGGCATCGCTGCCGGGCGCCGTGGCAGCCAGTAACGAGAGCGAAGCAACGAAGGCGGTCAGAATGGAACGAGAGACGCTCGAACGAGCGGGAGATGTGCGTGGCGCCGCCATTGTTTTGGTTATGCCGTCCTCAGAGCCCTTTCCTACCTAGCTGAGTCCCAGCTCCGGAGAGACGCAAGTCGCAGCGTCTTGAGGTCCCGCAAACCGCTCAATGGCAGCCCGCGCCATGTTTAAATAGCTTCCCAGTGCCGCGGGTGCGGATTTGGCGTGCAGTTCGCGCTATCGCCATCGCAGCAATCGACGACGCAGTTCGGCCATTTGATCGGCGTTCCCACCGGCTGGGTTCGTGGGATATAGTTGCTAGGGTAGCTTTAGCAAAAGCTCGGCAAAGCTCTATCGTGTGCAGCCTGGAGCTCACAGTCAAGGCCGCTGCTCCTCATTGGCCCGCAAACCCAGCTTAATTGGAGAAAACATCCCGGTTTCCTCGTTGGTTGCTGCGGAGATATCTACACCCATGCTCGACGAGAACGCGGGACGGCTGGAGTTGACAAATGCGACACGAACGCGCCCGGTCGCACAAGTCTGGAAGGAGGTTTGGAGCTTCGAGTATGCAGGCAGACGTCGACGGCGTCGCGGTCAGGACAGAGAACTGGTGAGCTCGGCGGCAGACGGGCTTGGCATGGAGAGACATGCCAGGCACTACCAAGGTCTCTCCACCAAGCCACGTGCTGGTGTGGGGGGTAAATGCGGGGCGGGAGAGCTCTTATCGCGGTGGCTTGTAGTAGTCAAGCTCCATATCGGGGTTAGGTAAGGCCTTTTTGTACTGTCGTGAGAGATAGAGGGCCGGCGCAAGGGTTGCTCAGGAACGCCCGGAGCTCGACGGAGCGGGGATAATCTGCCGGTTTCGAGGTCGATCGGCCTTGGCGTGCGAAGCGGACAAGCCGCAACCCCGGAGTTCGGATGAACGCCTCTCAAAGTCCACCCAGCGAATTCCTGGACAGGCCATGGCGTTCAGTTAGGCTGGAAGCGCATGCAATGTTCGGCTTACCTTCCAGCTCGGACCGCCGGCTAGTCAGGTAGCTCGGGATCGACGCCGAGATTTCGCATCGCAACAGTAAAATGTTCAGGCGACTATTAGCTTCTCCCAGTGGTTCAGATAAAAGAGATGCTAGTTTCTAATTTAAGCTATCTTGAATGGGAGCCGGAAGAATGGGCAGACCGACGATGTCTTGATCGAAGCCATCGAGCTTCTCTGACATTTGCGGCTCCGGAAGCGTGACGCCAAAGCTTCCAATAAGGAATCCGGATCAAAACTTGCCGTTTAACCACATATAATATTTTTGCCCCATATCGTTTCATCTAGTCTATGACAAAAGACCTCGCTGCACTACCCTGAAACCAACGCCCTACAGAGAGAAACACCCGAACATCAAGGACCCGAAGGAAAGAGTGAATGAAGTCCTATGACTTATCTTAGATAGTTAGTATATTATGAGGGTGTGGAACAAATTTGAACGCCGAAATTGTCCTGGACCAAACGGAGTGCTCTGTGTGTGGTTTTACTACGTAGGCTCGGAACTTGATATGGTAATTCAGCTCGAAAGGTTAGGGTGCAGCCGGTAGATGGTCCTTGACCCGTCGGACAGCCAACAAGTACCAACATAGGGCTCGAGAGAACGTACTACGTAAAAACGTGGGCGCCATCAAACTGCGGAAAAAAATTTCGTACCAAATGCTAATGCTATATATTCTACATAGTAAGCAGATGCTCTCATGGCCGGATGGTGTAGCTGGTTATCACGTCAGTCTAACACTCCTAAAGTCATTGATGACTGAGCGGGTATCACTGAAGGTCCTGAGTTCGAACCTCAGTCTGGTCATTCTCTTTTGCAAATTTTTCTCTTGGCCCTATTGCGTACAATTTTTACTGCTTGTCACATATTCTTGTTGGTAGACGTTAGGAACTACCTGCACATGGCTCGCCCTAATTATCCTGAATGCTCGCAATATTAATTCACAAGGTAGCGGAAGATTTGCCTTTAGGTATATATAACTATATCTAATTCAAGATTTACATCTCGCTGCCAGGCCATCATATGGCTCTCACCTACGTGAGCACACGAATTCTACCCTACTTCAAGGCAATCTTACAAATGTTCACCAACCCACTCTCTCCCTCTCATCCACACCCTTAGACATTCCGGCACCCAAATCATCCCCCTATCCGCATCCCACCCCTGCTCTATCAGTGCAGCCAGCACCCTCGGCACCGCGCACGCCGTCCCGTTAACGCTATGCAGAAAGACCAGACTGCCGTCAGCCAGTTTGACACGAGCGCCGAGACGGCGCGCCTGGTAGTCGGTGCAAAGCGAAGCGGAAGTGAGTTCGCCCCATCCAAGGTGCTCCTGCGAGGAGGGGAACGTGGAAAGCCCGGCGGCGGCGCGCGACGGGAAGTAGGCCTCGTGGTCGAGCTTGCGGGTTGCAGAGGCGCCGAGGTCGGCGCTGGGAAGTTCGAGGAGGCGGGCGTGGAGGTTGAGCGACGTGAGGATGTGGGATTGGAGAGAAAGTATGTCGGCGAATATGGCTTCCGCGGGCGTTTGTGCCTGTATCGACGATGAACGAGATGCGGAGGTGTCGAAGTTTCCGTCAGCGGACGCGGACGATTCGTCGGCCGTCGGCGGCATCGCCCAGCCAAACAGCTCCACCTTCGTGAACTCGTGCACGCGGTACAGGCCCTTCGTCTCGGCGCCGCGCGCGCCCGCCTCCGCGCGATAGCATCGGCTGACGCCGACCATCTTGAGCGGCAGCGACTCCGGACGCACCGTCTGTCCTGCCAGCATGCCCGCGAGTGGGATCTCCGCCGTGCCAGCGAGGACCAGGGGGGGGGTTTTTCCGCTACTACCACCGCCTTCCCCATTGTTTCCTCCGTCGACGTCGCCCACGCTGTAGATCTGCGTCTCGCCGCTCTGGTCGCGCGGCCGGAAGCCAGAGGCCTCGGCGATGTGCGCGTAGACGAGGGAGGGCGGGCTCACGGGAACAAAACCGCGTGCCATGGCTTCTTGTAGGGCGTATTGGATGAGCGCTTGTTCAAGGAGGGCGGCCGCGCTGCGGAGGAAGTAGAACCCCCAGCCGGAGGTGCGGGCACCAGCGGGGAAGTCGAGAACATTGTTGAGGTGGGCGGAGATGGCAGTATGAGAGCGGGAAGTGCCGCCTAGTAGAGTGGAGGGGTCGGCGGAAAAGCTGGGAGAAGAAAGAGTTTCTTGTTGTCGTAGTTTTGTGCCCAGTTGTTCGTTAATGTGACCCAGCACCGTCGGCGTTTCGCCCAACGGCGTATGCCCGCTCGTAAGATTTGGCAGCTCCCATGCCAACCGCCCGATTTCGTCCTGTATGCCTTTCTCCAGCTCTTCTACACGCGCCAGTTCGACCTTCAAGGCTTTGGCCTCTTGGAGCAATTCCTCCCGAGTCCTAGCCTCCTCCTCACCTGCACTTGCATCCTCAGTATTTTGCCCGTTCGTTCGACCTCTTCCCGTCCCCAACTTCAATAATCTCCGTATCTTGTTACTCCGCTCGCGTAGCCGCCGGCCTTCTCCGCGTTGCATATTTAGCCACTGCTCATGCAGTTTGATGATACGCCAGGGGTATTGCGAAAGCGTGGCGTAGTTGCGATCAATGCAGTTTTGCTCGTATAGCCCGGGATTCTGCCGAATGTGCTTGATGTCTAGGTAGGCTTTTGGTGCTGTAGGCGGACGCGCCTGGGAAGAGGTAGTGTTCGCTCGGCGCTGTTGACCGCGTAAAGGGCAGAGAGGAGCACGTTTGAAGGGTTCGGGGAGAAATACTCGAAGGGAGCGGCGGCATCGTGAGCAGGCGCGGAAGGAGGCAGCCGGGGAGCGCATTGTAGGGGGAAGCAGCAGCGCAATGCTGCTGCAAAGGAAGGAGGAGCAATTAAGTGAGAACGATTATGTACAAGCCATACGAAATTGAAGATCTCGAACGGAGATATTCTTTCGGTCGCTGACTCTATCCGGACGCCGGCCTGATAAGATTTGCGTTTCCTAAACCCCGCTATTCCGCATGTGGTAAGGAGCTCATAATCGACGCGTCCCGGCACGCGTTCTCTGGTCTCAACTCAACGCTCGACCGTCTACTCCAAATCTCCCTTCTTGTCATCGTGAAATACATGCATACGCCCAGTCCATATGCGAAATGAATATACCGCCGTAGCTAGCAAGACCAAAAAGGCCGCGAGCTTCAGCACCGCCACCACCGCGCATGGCAGCGGTACCAAATCCGTCCGCACCGTAGCAACCCCTGCAGACACTTGTGTCCTCCCCACCTGGAAGATCAATTGTGACAATTCCAGATCTTCACGTGAGAACAAATTCGAATGCCATCATAAGTGGCTCGATGTGGATCAAGAGTGCCTAAACGGATAGCCGCCGCAGCGCAGCTTCACTAGGAGCCATCCGTCGGGACCTAGGGGCTTGGCAATATCCACCCAGCTTCAACTACAATCCGAACCTGTAGGATGAAGCCGGTAGAGATACAGACGAACTCCAGAGGCACCATCCCCGCCACGCCGATGTCGAAGAGCGTCTCATAAAGATCGAGAAACGTCGGCGGAAATCAACAGGCGCAAAGCCGAAACTAACAAGCGGTTGACGGAGGCATACAAAGAAGGGATCGAACCTGAAGTGGCCGAGTGCGAAGCTAAAAATCGCGGGAGCAAGAAGTCAAAGAGAGGGAAGCAGAAGTGCAAACGTGCAGATTCACAACTGAAGGGAGCTAGCGTTAACATCTCACCACGTTCTCATCCATCTGACCCGACCGTTAAGCCTTCTAACAACTACCATTCCACTTCCAATGCCATGAGAGAACGCCAAGTCCCCTGCCATGGATATCGCCAGCAGACCGAGCAAGAAAGTTGTCAGGCTCTGCAGGACGACGACGTCAAGCGCGGAGCTGAGCTTGAGCGAGAGTCAGCCGAGATCCGAAGATTAGAGGCTGATATTGGAAGATTAGATGCTGAGATGGACGCTAGCCGTGAAGCTGAGAAGGCGCAGCAAGACCGTCACGCGAAGCCAATCAAGAAGCAACGAGGCGAACGTCGAAATGCCAAACAATTCGTAAAGCCCCCGGAATGTTTGGCCGCCAACGGCCGTCCGATCTCCGACACTACAAAATGTGGCAGCGCCTCGGACAAGATCGCAACACCGGCCGAAAGCTCCTCAGAACATGTTTGCAAGTCTGATTCTGAGAATACATTTCACAATGGGTGTGGACAACGTAAAACGGAATCCGGAAAACGCAAAGCCGAATTCCAGAGATCCAAAGTGGGCGTTAAAAAGGTTCGAGCTTCGGGTGTACAAAAAGAGCACTCAAACTCATATCAAGAATTCCAGCCTTTGGAGCCGAATCCCTCCATTTCTAACACCGGCTTCATACCTTCTTCTAACGATACAAACCTATCTACTACCAAACAAGCCCGCCATAGAAATCAGCATGGAACACATCCGGCTATAATAGAGGCGCGCACTGGAATGAACGACGTTGACGCGAATCTACTATCGTTACCATCACCCTTGACGATGTCACCACAACAGCCGCAGAGGCCGCCTCACAGCCCATATCCTCCGGATGCCCCTACTGCTCCTGCTCCACCCTATAGTCCCCCAAGCCACGCCAAGAGCAGCCGTGCGCCCAGCCCAGGGCCGCCTTACAGCCCAACCGAAGCATACAAGAAGCACTGGGCCTCCGGCGTTGGATGCAACTTTCACTCGGTGCCGTATCCGCTTTTCCTGCTACCGTACGACTCATGGTGGGCGTTGCGGTATGGAAGTGACATTACCGACACGCACGGTTCTGACTCAGCTACCGCAGACTTCGCAGTAGCAAGGGCAGCCTCAGAAGGTCTAGCGGAACTGCCTGGAATCCCTGAGCACGGACGCAAACATCCATTCCGCTGTCCGGAATGCATGCAACCATACTACCGTCCGAGGTCTTTGCCTTTTTCACCCTCCTCGACCTCATCCACTAAACCGAGTTCGGCCTCCCTGCCCACACCACACGCCCGCAAACTCTTTCTCACAGCCGAACGACTTTCTTGGCCCGGCACCACCCCGTCCGTCCGCAGCATGTCTATATCTTCAGGTGCCGAGCGCAGATACAGCATCAGGAACCGTCCGACAGTGCCCACGGCCGAGCGCGCCCGCAACCAGGAGGCGCTCTGGGCAGTCAACTTCGCGCTCGGGATCGAGGATCCCGTGCTGTTCGATGATGAAGACGCGGATCAGGGCGTACAAGGAGAACCGGCGAACTGGCGGACGTGGTTTCATCCGTTTGAGAGCCCGCAGGAGATGTGGCTAGGGCTGGGGATTGTGGCGGCGGGCGTTGCGGGCGGGGACGGAGGGCTGGGCGAGGATGTCTGGGGAGCGTGGAGGGGGTTGGTCGAAGCTGGGGAGGAGGGTGGGGAGCATAAGGAGAATATTGGGCCGGCGGAGGGAGACGCCGTGGGGAATGCGTCGGCGATTCGACCATTTGCTCATGGAGCATATGTTTCGCCTTACGCGACACCTCTGAATGACAGACCAGAAGGTCCGCTCGGTGCGAGCAACCGCTACGCTTCACCCTCTGCATCGTTCTCCGAGAACGTAGAGAAGGGACAGAAAGATTCGGACAAGGCCAGGGTCAACCTTTCCTTTCGGACCAAGACGCAATTCTACTCCCTTCTTGACCGGATAGAGCGCTCGTCATTTGCGGGGGCAATGTTTCTCGAGGCGTACGCGGAGCATGTGCGCAGAGATCTCTGTCGGGAATGTTGGTTTAAGGCGTTTGTAAGCGATGTGGGTGAGGATAGCGAAGACGATTGGGGTGAAAACGAAGC